TAATAAATAAATATATATTGATTTGATATATATATATATGACTATTGATCATATGTCATATGGTCATAAATTTTATGACCAAATAATATGACTTTGATGACCTGAGGTCATAATGTTATGACCTTGGTCATTGGGTCATAACGTTATGACCTATATAATGTTATACAATCTTATCATTGATGATAACATATGGGGTACATATGTATTACATAAACAAATGTGAATGCTTACCATATATATATTAAAGTTTTTTAACAATAAAAAAAAAAGCAAATTTTTTTTGTTTTTATGACTATAAAGATGATTCGGCAGCCTAGCTTTTAAGTTCATTTTAAAACCGTATCTGAATAATAAATATAGTTAGAAATTTGATCTGGTCAGTATAATTTAAAGATCTCAATTGTTTAAATTGTTTAATTTATTCTCAAAATATAAGTAATAAGCTAATAGATTTTTAGAATTTTTTCTTAACCTGAAGGTTTTATAGACTTATTACAAATTCTTAAGTGTTTTTACTTTGCAATAGTTTAGAGAAGGTCTATATATAGGCCAGGCTGTTATAAAATTTTATTGGTAGTTTTTTTTTTATAACAAACCTGATTATTCAAATAATGAAACGAAAACATCAGCCGCATAATTTTAGAGATTTTTTCATTTAGTCAAAAATGATAATAACAAATCAAATGCCAAAGCTGTATGCGTTTGTTGTAGTTAAAATGTTGGAGGTTTAGCTATTAACAAATAACACCTGGATGTTTTACTTCCAACAAAGCAAAACTTTGTCGCAATCATCTTGCAAGCTGTGAAAACTTTAAAACATCTTATAGTAATGAAGAGGTCACTGAAATTTTATCTTGCGCTGTTTCTGAAGACATAAAAAGGAATAAAAATCATCAAGATGGTAATTTTCTTGTTAAAAATACATATTATTGTTAAGAGAAAATAAGACTTTGAGCTTTTAAGCTTATTATTTATTATTTATTAAATAGCAATTGTATTGTATATATTACTATTACAATTAGATTTAATAAATCATAAATAATAAAATTGAAAGCCAAAGTTTATTTTTTTCTTGCTAGCATTTATATATTTATGAATTGTTGCTAAATTTATTTTTTTTTTAGATACATCTGAAAAAGAGAATAATAGTGAAGTAGATCATTTAGAGTTACAAAATTTATCAAAGCACCAAAAAAATACTGCTTCAACAGTATCAATATCATCTATAACATTGTCCACTTCTTCACTTTCTAGACAAAATTCTATTAAAGCTTATGGTGCTCGTCCTATGTCTATTAATGACAAACCAACATTTGAATATTTAGTTCTTCGAATGATTGTATCAAATGGTTTATCATTTAATTTTTTAGAAAATGAAGATACACAAGCAGTTTTTAACTTTATTTTGCCTAGTATTAGTTTACCAAATCATAAGGCAATTAGTGGAAGAGTATTAAAAAAAAGTTCAGAAATTTTAAAAACAAATATTATTAATATTGCAAAAAAGGATACAGATGGTGTTATAGCAGCATTTGATGGTTGGACAAATATTAAGACAGAGCATATTTGGGGGTCATTTTAATAACTTCACAAGGTCAACCTCTTGTTTGGGGCGCTTATGATATTAGTGGAAAAGTTTCTCAAACTGAAAATATAATTCAATATATTAAAACTTTAATGATTGAAACAAATAAGGAAGGAATAAATATAAAGGCTTTTATTTCTGATTCTGCAGGAGAGTATACTGCAGCACGGTAATTTTTTTTAAAAATTATGCAATTTCTTTATAAAACAATTATTAATCTTATTAATTATAATTTTTTAAAATTATAATTTAGTAAGCAATTACGAAGACAATATCCAGACAAAATATTCCTTCCATGTATAGCGCACCAAATAAATCTTGTATTTGGTGATATTTTTAAAGAAAATATATGTTATAAATGAATCTCTGCTGAAGCTATATGAATAGTTAGTTATTTTCACAAATCACTATATTTTACTGGATATTTAAGGGATGAACAAACTTGAATTTATAATAAAACTATATCACTCATATCACCTGGTGATACAAGATAGAATAGTTACTATTTTGTTTCTATTCTATTCTAAAGACTAAAGTTGCTTAAAGGTAAAGTTTATAAATTTATTAAATTTATTAAATTTATAATTTAGGCCATGCAAACTTAAGTAATTGGTTTTCATAACCCGGCTGGGTCAAAATTTGAAAATTTGTAAAAAAAGTTTTTTGTATATTTTAAATAACCGGGTGGGTATTTTAAAAATTTTTTAAAAAAATTTTATAAATTTTTATATATGAAATTTTAAAAAAAAAAGCCGGCCGGCCGGGTCTGTTTAAAAGTTTCATGTTATGAAAACCAATATATTAAATTTGAGTGGCCTTATTATTAAATATTTATTTTTATTTTATAGTTTATCTCTGCAAAATTTAATGAACATCGGTCAAATATAATTCGAACAAATGGTATTCCAAATATAGAACCAAACAATACTTCAAAAAAATGTAATGGTGACCGAAAATTACCAGATGATATTGCAGACATTATTAATGATAATAATTTTTGGATAGCTCTTCTAGAGCTTCAAAATTTATTATATCCTTTGTGTTGCTTTTTAAATAAGCTTCAAAAAGATACAGCAAGCTTATATGAAGTAATTCATTGTTTTGCATATATAACAAAAATTTTTAGTGAACATTTAGATATAGAATTTTCAGAAAAAATGATTAAACGAATAGAAAAACGCTGGCATTAATGGGAGCAACCATTATTAATTCTTTCAATAGTACTTCACCCTTTATATAGGGTTTCAAAATTTCAAACATCCATATCTAATTTGACTTTAATACATCTTGGACAATGGTTAAAATATTATTATGAAGCATGGTTCAGTAATAAGCCACAGTCTATTTTAGCATTATATGAAAGGTTTAGATCCATATAATGATGATTCATTTAATCACTTTCAAGGTGAATTAGTTAATTTTTAGAAATTTACTAGCGGTATAGGATCTGAATTGGCTAAGGTTGCAATTTGAATACATGGAATCTGTATAAACTCAGCATCTGTCAAAAGATTGTGGTCTAGTATGGGCTATTTACATACTAATAGAAGAAATCGGCTTAAGTTTTATTTTTTTAATATTTATATTAATTCTTTTTTAATTAATAATTTATACTTAATATAGTAATTTTTTAGACAGAAAAAGTTTTTGCAATGGCACAAATTAAAAGTGATATTACTTATAATCAAAATATTAAAGATTTACAAAATAAAGAAAAAAAGTCTATTAGCTTCATATAGCAACACCAATTATTTTGGAAGAATCTGACAACAGTGATATTAATGATAATCAAGAAGTTAACAAAGAAAGTGAAACGTTAAATAAAAATTCTAACAACTACGAAAATGAACCAAACACTAAAGAAGATGAAGAATGTTGAAATTTAATTATAGATGAGTGAATTAATAATGTAGAATATGAAAATCAATTTGATAATATTGATGATACAACTTTTCTTTCTTCAGAATGGGATACAGATTTTGAAATAAGTGGGTGAACTATTCATCCTGCTGATGATGAGTCAGCAAAATGGTTATTAGAATCGCTTTTTATTACTAATCTAGAGTTACCAACCTTTTTAGATACAACTATTACATTTACTGATAGTTAGTAATTAGTTTAATAAAAAAAAAACTCTTTCCGTAAATCCTTTACACAAACTTAAATAAAATTCGTCCATCACAAAACTGCTAATATCT